GTAACTATTGAATGCGCTTGTCCCTACTTGTTGAGTCTATTCTCGGTTTTCAAGCTAGAGTCTCCTAAGTATATATCTTCTGGCTTCAAAATGGTTTATATATATATATATATATATATATATATATATATATATATATATATATATATATATATATATATACCTATATTGTATTTTAACGCGTTGGAGTGGGTTACCAGCATTATTCGTTGAACAGATATATTTGGCTTTCAGGCACAGATGAGTAGCTCCGGAGCGCACTAGAGGACCGAGGCTTAGATAGATAGTTTTCTTTTCAGCCTGCGTGCCATGATGATGTATTGACATTGGTTTGAGGATATTTAGTTAGTATAGCCTGTGCATCTGAGTTCTCCAGCTCAGATGTGGCATAGCACCCCAACTCTTATGTTTAAGTATGCTCTGTTTCGGAATTAATGATAGTATTGCCTTTATTTCATAAGTATTCAAGGTTTTAAATTTTAGGGGTGTTACATGATATGTGGTGCAACACTAATAACCTAATAGCTAGGCTACCATTATGATTAGGAGTCTAGTTAGGGTTTTGGAGACCTAGAGACATACAACCACAATGATGGCCAGTGGGTTATAACGTCACTAGTCCTCTCACTACTCACATTACATATCTCATACATCATCTAGAGAGAGTTGAGTAGAAGTGAGAGACAAAATACTCTTCTGGATCATCCAATCATCATCACTACAAGAGCTATAGCTGGAGGATAGTGTGCTATAGCTGGAGGATAGTGTGATCGTATTGTTACATATTATAGATTGCATGTGACTTATTAATTCTAACAAATACTTTCATCCGATCTTCTAAAACTAGCAAGTGCCACTTTGATGTTGCAAGTGATTGCCTTTCATCTCTCCAACATTATTATATTACTTTTTTTTAGGTTCTGTGATCTACTATACACATTCCACTAAAGCTGGCTAGTACGAGACTTTTCACCTGCATTAATTGTGGTGAAACTAACCCGGTTGCAATGTTTAAGTAATAGCGACATTTAGGAGCGGAGGTCAAATCCTATTTGATCGGAATTCTGCTCTGCATCACGGTTGGATTGAGGATACATGATCACGGACTTGGGCCGAACTCATAGCTATTAGTGTTGGTCCCTACAGACGGCACCAAAACAATGTGGTAAATTTTACCGAGTATATGTATTCGTAGGAGATTGAGTGTTGTATTTGCTAATGGTAGCTCGGGTAGCAAAGTCCAAGGGTCGAAGGTTCCCGAGCTTATAGAGCTCCAGAGAGAGAGCCAAAAGTCTTTTCAACATACGTCTTGCGGGCTTTTATGTTGGAATTTTTAGCAAAAATGGCATTTCGAGTGATTATTTTGTGTTACAAATATATGTGGGTCCACTTCCGATTTGGGTAGGGTCAGAGTCGATTCGGGTTCTTCGTAGTGAGACGAAGAATTTGATATAATGTACGCTCAAAATGGGTAATAGGTGAATGAGAAATTGATTCTCAAAGTGAACTTATTTGAGAGAAGCCAAAATCTTAAGCTAATTGCTAATTAAATTAGCAATTTGTTATTAAGCTTGATTCGTTGTACACGAGGTGTGCAAGAAAGTAAGCTTGATTAAGCTTAAGTGTTGTGATTAAGCTTTGATAGCTTAAAGAATGATTAAGCTTGAAAACTTAATTAGTGATTTGGGATTTTAGCACCTTTCGTGCTTTGCTTTTGAATGCATGGACGAATGTTGCACGAACCAATTGTGCTTAAGCTTTGGATTCCAAAGCAGCTCAATTCGTGTTGTGGATTCGGTGAGCACGAGTCAATGCTATATGCATTGATTCGTGCTGCACCGTTTTGGTGCTTGCGGACCACTCGGGTGTGGTTTTCGGTCCCAATTCGTTAAACCTTCGGGTTTGTATGGACTTCTCGATCACTCATATATTTTGAAACGGGTCGTTGTGGTCGGTATGAATTAATCTCGTATTAAGTTCGTGACCGTTGGAATTATTACGATAATAAGTACGACCGTTTCAAACGTTATTATCCAATTGTTAAACTTTGAATTTATGTTGGTTAATGGCCATGAATATGCTATTTATTCCCTATCTTCCTACAAATACCTTGGGTGGTTGGCAGAATTTTTTGAAGGGACATTCTTGTTGAAACTCTCAAAATCTTTCTTTGTTTTCTCTCTACTCTCATCTCATTTACAAAGGGAAATTTCTGCCAACATCTTCTAAAAACATTGGAGTGCTCAACTTGTGTTCTAGTTCGCCGGGCTTTGGGTTGGAGTGCTCGAACGCCAAAGTCGTAGTCCGTTTTATCCTGGGAGACTGACGCCACAACGATCCTAGCACCATCGGGAGGTGGCGAATCGGTTTTAAGGAGAGTGTGTGTACACACGACTCGGGCTTCCTCTGCTTCTTCTTGTTTCTTCGCGTTGGGTTAAAACCTCAGGTTAGAAACCCGTTCTTGCTTTTATTTTTGTTATTGGTTTTGGACCAAGTGGTGGGATTAATCTCGGAAAGATTAAATCCTTGTACTAGTTTCGTACTAGTTGTGGTGGGATTATTTTGATAAAATAAATCCCTATTTGGTTAATACATATACGTTGTATATATATGTAATTTTGGTTTCGTACCAAAAATTGGTTGGAATTAATTTTCTATAAATTAAATTCTATTTTTTGGGACAAATATATATTTTATATATATATATATATATATATATAGTGTATCGATTTATTCACCAATATCCAACAATCTTAAAACCGAGCTTTTTTTTTTGGTGATTTAAATTGATGGATTCCACGAGTGGTGGAACCGTGAATGTTGCTCGTGGTGCACATTTATTTGGTCGGATCGGCAACGTAGTTGCACAATCCGAAACCCCGGTGAACTTTGGTTCGGAGACCGGTGGTGGCATCAAAGGGTATATCCCTACGATGAAGGTACATGGGACGGTGCCTTGTGGATTGGTAGAAAGACCAAGGAAATTCACGGAGTTGAATTTCGAAGGGTTGCAACTTAAAGTGTTGTTCAGCCTAGTGGTTCTCGGAATGTCATGGTTCTTGACCGAGATGGTTCCTAGTGGATAGGAACATGGGTCTAACGCTCAAACCGTTAGCATAGTAAGGATCTGGAAATATTTGGCTTTCCTATGCCTAAACTATGTTTTGAATGGTTTGTGTGACTCGTTGTGGGAATCTCTGGACCTGAAGTATAAGAGTGATGACGCTAAGGCAAAAATGTTTATCGTTAGCCGATTACTTGAATACAAGATGGTAGATTCCGGGATCGTCCTAAGTCAAGTTGACGAAGGAATGATCGTGAGTGAAGCCTTTCAAGTGGAATCTGGTATCCATTTGTTGCCTTTGGGCAGAAAGGACTTCAAGAAGCAATTCCACGGAAAATGCTTGAATGGCTTAACGGCCATAGTGGTATGTAACAAACGTGTTGCATGGTTGAAATCTCGTAAAGGACTTCAGTTCTAGATTTCAAGTATAGTCAATTTGTCAAAATTGGGATGACTATATAATCGTGAGCGTCAAAGCTCAAATGTGTTGAATATTTTAAATAATATTCTTAATACGATTATACAAGCTTGATTCAACTAGTTGAAAATTTGGTTGATATAATCTTGTTAATTAGGTGAAAATTAACTTGATTAGAGATACCAAATTGTACTAGTATGAAATTAATTTGTGACAAATGACGGAAGTGTTGGGACAACAAAATAAATCTTGAACCACCTAACTTGCGAGTAATGGTGTAATGATTTATAAAGTTGTCACTATTGTGGATTAAGACAAGGTTTTGTCTAATTTTTGGAATGAAGGCAAGGGTTAATTACTAATTGGGCTGTAAGCTCAGTGTAATAACCGTAATTAATAAAATATTATTAATTGGTCTTGCTTGGTTGACTCTTCATGTTTGTGGCACGGTAGACAAGGTCATGGTAATTTTGAATCTATACGTAGATTAGTTAGCATGGACCACATTCCAAATTTAATGATAAGCACAAATATGATGTTTGTGATGTGGCAAAACCACCGAGAAGTGAAGCGCACATCTCGGTTCTAAGAAGTGCTAGAAGCACCTCTAGGCCATGTGATCGAGAAGTAGACGTACATTTCGGTCATAGGCGAGTTATCGAGAAGTGGAGGTACGTAACCTTTCGGGTACCTTCGGGTGACATCTTGGATGTACTTCTCGGAGTATCAACGATAGCACTCGATAGTGCTAAGTGAATTTTGCTTGAGAGCAAAAACGATGTCGTTGATAAATTTATTCTTTAAAAGAATAAAGTGGAAAACCAACTTAATCGTGGAATTAAGGCGGTTAGAAACGATCGATGTAGTGAATATGAAACACCTATTGGTGATTCTGCGTAAGCGTTGGTATCGTACTCGAGCGTACGACACAGTATTCACCTCAATCGAACGTTGTTGCCGAACATAAATATCAAGACGTTGATAAGTTCGGGTCTACCTCAAAGTGTGTGGGGTCAGACAAGACTTTGGACAAGTAAGTACCTTTTAAATAAGGTTACCCGCACGAAATAGAGAAGGATTTAAGAATACGGGTGCTCAACATTGTCACTCAAAATCAAATGCAGATGCGGGGGAAGGTCCTTCGCGTCCAAAGCGGCGGAGGGTTTCAAACAGAACTGGTTGCAGAGCTAGGATTATTTTTAAGTACATTGGAGTAGCTGGGTACCAAGTCAAGACATTTATTGAAAAACATAATCAAGCATGTCTTCAGTCCTTGCAAGGCAGTTCCTAAAGGGAAATAGAAACATATCTACTGTTCAACAGAAGTTTATACTAGATTGTGCTAAAGCAAATATTGGAGCATCAAAATCACACAGTTTATACAGTCAGATTGTGGGGGATTAATCTGAAGTTGGGGCAACTGTAGTTGACTTTAAAAATGTCAGAAGGGATCTCAGAGCATACATATTGGGTACCGATGCACAAATATTCGTGCATAATCTTGTTAAAAAACAAGAGATGTGCCCTGCATTTGCTTTTGACTACAATGTTGATGAAGATGAGCAGATGAGTAGATTATTTTGGGCAGATCCAATGTCAAAAAAGAATTTTGCTGCATTTGGAGATGTTATCTCTTTTGATGCTACATATTCAACGAACCGGTATTATTCTATTCACATTCTTGCGTACGTTTCATTAATTAATTCAAATTAAACATTGCCTGATATGTTGAGTCACGTTAAGATTTAGACATGTTCACTGTTTACTTGAAAAGAATTGTAATATAAATAAGCGCACATTGTCGCTTTATACCACACATCTTAAACACTAATGTCGCACATATTAGTGTGGAACATCCGGAATTAGACATCAAGTACACATGTGTGCGAATTTAAAACTTAATGTGCGTTACTTTAATGCTCTAAGTGCGCCAGTTTGACACCTGTATACTGTGATGTCGCTTTTTGTCTTGTAGGTACAATCTGGTTTTTATACCCTTCACCGGAGTTGATAACCATAAAAAATGTATAACATTTGGTGCTGGATTATTGTTGAAAGAAGACATTGAGTCTTATGTTTGGCTCTTTGAAAAATTTAAAAAGGCAATGGGTATGGAACCAAGAATAATTGTCACTGATCAAGATCCAGCTATGAAAGTGGCGATTCCAAGAGTTTTCAAGCAAGCCAGACATCGTTATTGCATGTGGCACATTATGTGTAAAGTTGGGGAAAAGGTGGGTCCTACGTTGAACAAGAATGAGGAGTTCAAGAACAAATTGAACTCAATTGTTTGGACATCATCTTTGTAACCTACTGATTTTGAGAAACAGTGGAGAGAGCTCATGGAAAAGTACAACTTAGTCGAACACAATTGGTTTACAACTATGTTTGAGGTTAGAAACCATTGGATCCCAGCCTATTTTAGAGATGACTTTATGGGGGGTCTACTCAGGACAACGTCTCGTTCCGAAAGTGAGAACTACACGTACAACCGTTTTACTGGCCCACAGTCTTACCTAGTTGAATTCATGATGAACTTTGACAGTGCTCTTAAATCACAACGTAACACTAACGCAAAGCTCAACAGTGACAATCAAGGCTACAATCTAGATATGAAGACGCCTTTAGGGATTGAAAAACATGCTTCAATTGTCTACACCATTACTGTTTTCTATCAAGTTCAGGAAGAAATATGTGCCTCCTGTTTCAAATGTATGGTGTTGAGTGTTAGAGAAGATGGTGGAATGTTACACTATGATATTATGGATGGAAAGAACAAAATATTTAGTGTGGTGCACAATGTAAATGACCATGAGGCCACATGCAGTTGCAAGATGTTTGAGATGGATGGACTGTTGTGTAGACACATATTTGTGGTCTTTAGATACCTTGAAAAGATACCTCTGAAGTATGTGGTTAATCGGTGGACTAAGGATGCATCTTTAAAGGCTACATTTGAAATAGATGGTGTCATTTATTATCAGAATGGACCAAAGGATGAAAAGAAGATGTTGCTGAACAAACTGTGGTTAGATGTACACTGTTGTATTGATCTAGCAGGTTCAAACATGGAGCATTTAGTTGCATTTTCGCAAGTGATTAATGAACAGAAACAGCTGCTAATGTCAGGAAAGGAAAGGTTATCCCCTCAGCACAGCAAGAAGACTCTTATAGAATCCTTTTGTGAATCAACAGAGATTTCAGAGATCAATATACTTCCACCGAAACATGCAAAGAACAAGGGCAGTGGCAAACGTATCAAAAGCAGCAAGGAGTTGGCATTGAAAAAAGAAAAGGGTAGGAGGTGCAATTTTTGTGGTGTTAGAGGAGATTGACATGACACCAGGACTTGCCCACTTAACCCCAAAAATAAGGACAAACAAAAGGGTAAGAAAAACGCATAGCAGTCTATTTTTACAACGCCTTTACAGTTGAGAATGAAAATAAATAGCAAATATGAAACACAAATACTTAGTTAACTCATATAATGCTTTTACAGTTGAGATACTTCAATTTAATGTTCAACAATTACTAGTTTTGTTTTTATCACTGATTTGTGTTTAAAAATCAATGCTACTAGCTTAAACTGCGTGTCATTAATACTTTACCTGCGTGCAGTTAATTCTTAATATGCGTTAATTACACTTTTAACGTGTGCTACATTAAGGCTGAAGATGCGTAATATGGAAACAGAATGTGCCTTGGTTTATGTATAAAAACTTTGGTCTGTGGTAAATGGCAAAGTCTTTACATACGTTGATTAACATTTAACTTGCGCGACATTAAAGCTTAAGATGCGTAATCTGGACAAAGACAATAAATACTCTGCCGTTCTCTATTAAAAAAAATTTTAAGTCTTTAGGGGGGATTCGGTTCAAAGACTTCTACCATTTCACCAGTGGGCTCATCCGTTCATTTCATTATATAAACAATATTAAATACTTGTTTTTCTCCAAACTAAGAATATTTAACACTTTATTTTTCTTTATTTATTAGTTAATTTAAGATGCGTTAAAAATTAGTCTAATATGCGCGATTGCAAAACTTAAAGTGTGTTTGTTTGATTATGAAATAATTTGCAGATAAAATGGCACATACATAATCGATTTTTATTTTTTATTTTTTATTTTTTTTGTTGTTGTTGTAAACCACAATGTGGTCCGCCCAAGTTATCATGGAATCCCCCCCCCCACAAAAGAGAGCTCATTTGCCACTTGAGCTACCCTGTTGGGTTAGATACATGATCGATTTAGTACTTTATGATTTGCATTTAACATGCGCGACATATCAATTTAAAATGCGTAATATGGAAACACAATGAGCGTTGGTTTCTATATTAAAGCTTCGGTGCATGCAATAATAATTTACACTCTAATATGTTAGTATTTGCAAACGTAAATACACATTGAGACAAAAGCAAACACATTCACTGCATGGTTTCTAGTACTTTGAAGACATTTCTTCTGGTTCCAGCAGCATCCAACACGCTGCCAACCTGCCAAAAGGCTCAAATCTCAGCCTTGGATATGTTTGGTTGCGACATGATGAGCTTGAAACTGCTAATGACGAATGTTGTTTCAGGTTTAGAGTGTGTTATTTTTGTAGTTAGTTACAATCACTACAAGCTGGAGGGCGAGGAAGATGAAAAGGACATAGATTATAAACAGGAAGAAGAATAATAAGATGAGGAATAAATGAAGAGGGTTCTTTTGTACGTGCGGAAACGTGAGAGATAGCCATTTCAATAAAACCTGATGCTCAGTTGTGTATTGTTCCTTCTCATTTATAGGCGAATAACTTGGTCACATGCATGCACTGATTTGAGATTTCAATATTGCGTGAATTACAAACACATTAGATTTTTCGAGATTTCCTTTAATGGGTGCGTTTTTTAAGGCATTGAATGACCATTCAATGTTATCCGTTTTCCTAACTACAAATGCCTTAAAGTGCTGACATCAAATATCTTTGAATATTACTTAAAGGCGGATTGATAGAAAAGAGTTAATATGCTTTAGTTTGCTCTGTTACATGCGCGAAATACGAGAACAATATGCGTGTAAATATACATTTAATTAAATTGCAGTGAAATAAGAGATTTTTAAAAGCCAAAAGTTTAAAGTGCGTCGAAAAACCAATTAAACCATTTTCAAAGACTATTACCATTTGGCCAGTGGGCTCATCCGTTCATTTCATTATACTCAACACTTGTAGACCCGAAAGAAAAACAATTCTCAAGATTAAAAAAAAAAACAATATATTTAATATGCGCTACATTCAGGCGTAATATGTGTAACACTTTAACAGACCGTGCATTTTGTTTATGCGTAAAAACTTTGATCGATCGTGAATGCCAACTGCTTTACCTGCGTTTATTAACATTTAACTTGCGCGACGTTAAAGCTTAATAATCGTAAATTGGACAAAGACCATAAAGCTTAATAATCGTAAATTGGACAAAGACCATACTCACCCGTTCATTATTAAACAAAAATAAAATAAAATAAAATAAAATAATCAAGTCTTTAAAGGGGGTTCAATCCTGGGCAAAATCATTATGATTAAAGACTTCTACCATTTCACCAGTGGGCTCATCCATTACTCTAATTATATAAAAAACATTAAACAACAATTCTTGAAAATTAAAACAAACAAAAAAAGAATATATTTAAAATGTAATACGTACGCTTAATATGCGTAATACGGCAATAAAATGTGCGTTGGTTTATGTATTAAAACTTTAGTCTGTGGCAAATACCAAAAAGCATAACATGCGCAATACAGAAACATAATGTGGATTAGAAAATACGCAAGTCTGAGTGTTTTTTTCAGTAAATTGTAATATGCATAGAATTTGGTCTTAATGTGCATTTTTTAATAACTTATATTTCTTTGAAAAAAAGTCTTAATGTGCTTGAATTTTTCTATTAAATTATCATGTAACACGAAACTATTAAGATCCCAAATTACATAACATCCATTGATTTTTGTCTAACGATACTTGGATTTGCTTGTTTATTTAACCATTATCAAAAAACATCCCAAAAAAAAAAATGAATAAAATGCAAAAAGATTTATTATTTACATTGCAATAATTTACACTTTGAACTGCTACTACTACAACTATAATAATAGTAATAATAATAAAAATAATAATAATAATAACAACAACAACAACAACAGTAATAATAAGGGAACATCCCACTTATTATCTGAAACAACATCAACCAACAAACCTAATGAAGCGACATGAGAGCTTATTTTTAATAACAAAAAAAAAAAAAAAAAAAAAAAAAACCCAGGCAAACGACATGAGCCGTCTATACCTTTTGGAGATATTTCTTTTGGTTAAGCCTGCATTAAGGTACCAAAAGATATATCTACAAAAGGAGTAAAGGATCCTGCCGTATGTCTGGGCTAAAACGACACATTCTAAACCTGAAAAGATCGACTCCTATGAATCTAAAATCTAACTGATCCAGAAGTATTAGACTGCCCCACATGTTATATTCAACTTACAGACAAACACACCTGGTTGATCTCTAAATTGAATATTACATACCGGACAGTCCAATACATCCAAATCAGTTAGCGTTTAGATCCACAGAAGAAGATCTTTTCTGGCTTAAAATGTGCTGTTTTAGATGAAAACAACGAGAACCACCTACGAGCTCTACTCAAAGGAGGTTGGCTTCGCTCATAGTTCCTTTACCTCCTCGTATAAACTTCGAGGGTTGTGGTATTGTATTTGATCCATGGGATGTTTAGAATGTGTTGTTATTGTAATCAACTACATTGACAAACAAGTAGAAGGAGGGCGAGTATGATGAGGATGGGTATGCATCGTGATGAATGTGAAGAAAATGACGATGAATAAATGATGGTGTGGAAAACTCAAATGACACAGTTTCATTATATATGTTGTATGGTAAGGTGATACTCCACTTTTATAGGCGAATAACTTGGTAAAATTCACCGATTGGAGAAATTCAATGTTGACCGTTTCGTGAACTTAAAAATAAATTGATGTTCACACTTTTAATTTGGTCGAAATATCAGTACAGGGTGCGTGCGTTTCTACTTTAGTGTGCGTTAATTAAGATTTTAATGTACGTGAATGAGTGTGTTTTTTTAGCGGTTCAATTAAATATGAATTGGTTATTTGACACCTAATAAAACCACCCATTGAATAATCTGTTTTCTATTATGATAAAGGATATTATTATTCAAATAATTTTTATTTTTTCCATTTTAATTTATCTTTAATATTGAAATATTTTTCTTCCATTTTTAAATCCCTTTCCATTGTTAGAATGCGTATGTATGTATAACTTAACATGTGTAGCAAAATAATTTAAAATGCGTATATTAATATTTGAATGTGCGTGGGGGAATTTTTAAACGAATATGCGTCAATTTATTCATTAATATGCGTACGTTAACACGTTATTATGCGTGTCTTTCATTCTTAATGTGCATGAGATTGTATACTCACTAACTTAGACCCAATAAAAAAAAGAAAAAAAAACTTTAATGGGTGCGTTTTTTTAAGAATTGAATGACCATTTAACTTTAATAGATTCCCATTATGAGAAATAGAAAAATCGCTGACATCGAAATTGACTTGTCACTTATTTCCAATGCCAAGTACATATCTAAATGACCTTATTTCTCTAATATGCGTTACATCTACACTTAACATGTGTGTGCGTGTATGTATAACTTAATATATGGAGCAAAATAATTTAAAATGCGTCTATTAATATTACAATGTGCATTGGGGTATTCTTAAAAGAATATGCGTCAATTTATTCATTACTATGCACACATTGATACTTTATTATGCATGTATTTCAGTCTAAATATGCATGAGATTGTATACTCACTGACTTGTAACCAAAAAAACCAAAAAAAAAGGGACTTTAATGGTTGCGTTTTTTTATAAGTTGAATGACCATTCAACTTTAACACATTTCCTTTATGGGAAATGAAAAAATTGCTGACAATGAAATAGACTTGTCACTTATTTTAAAGATAAGTCATATGTCTATCTTGTTGTCAGAACCATATGTAATTTTAGTACACGTAACATGCAACCGTTCATAAGCCAGGATTATGTTGAAGAGTCTATTTAAAGAATGGATAATCCATCACACCTTCTCATCTCAAAACAAGATGGATTCTAAAAAAAAAAAACAAAAAATGTTGAGAAAGACAAACAGTCTAAGAAGTCCAGAAAACCCCTTTCCAAAATACCAAAGGAAGATCTAGGATCACTGAAAGAAGGATCTGAATGATCCAACTTTCGAAGAACGTTTTCAAGCATTTATTGACAACTACCCTGTTGATAGTATTCCTGATGATTCAGACAGCGACACAGGCTCAAAAATCTCTTTCAACACTTGGAAAATGGAGGCTCTTGTCCACCTAGCTGATGAAGAGGCTGATGAAGAGGAAGAAGTCGACTCTCAAAATGGACCAATCTTCGTGAAGAAAGAAAGGGAATATTAAGCTCGATTATCTTATGATGGACGCACATTCTTAATATTACGTTTTGATGTAATAAGTGTCCAGTGTTTAATGATTATATAATATGAAGTTTATTATGGTGAAGTTGGTCATCATCACGATGCTTAAAAATGTGTTGATAAACCATTTAAATTGCGCAGCATTAAACCTAATGTGCGTTAAAAAGGGAACGCAATATGCCTATAGTAAAATCTTTATTTGCCTTAGATTGTATAATATGTGCCTTTAATATAATATGCATATATTATAATGTGCGTTTATAAACACTTGTAGACCAAAAATGCGTATATATATATATATATATATATATATATATATATATATATATATATATATATATATATATATATATATATATATATATTTAAATGGTGGTACATTAAGCCTTAATATGCGTAACAAATCAACAGTATGCGCGTTGGCTTGTGTATTAAAACTTTAGTCCATGATTAAAGCCAAATAAGTTACATGCGTTAGATAACATCTAACATACGTGACATTAAAACTTAAAATGCGCAAATTGCCCAAATACAATATTCTCCCGTTCTTTATCAAAAAATATAAATAAAATAAAAAAATAAAAAATAAACACCACGTTCATGACCTCTGCGAGCTTGTCAATTTCTTGGGTTTTACAACGATCTATATACCCACTTTAGCAGCACTCATAATGTACTCTTGACTGTGCTGTGAATCTGGTTTGAATGGGCGGGGAGACCTTTATCAAACTGGAAGTCGTGGCGGAGAACATCCCAAATTTCCACACAATCTCAGGTTGGAAGTTTGCATTAAGGGATGTTTTGCTTTCAGGTTTAGAATGTGTTGTTAATGAAATCAATTACAATAACAACAACAGGAGAAGGATGTCGAGTATGATGAGGAGGGTATACATTGTGAAGAATGTAAAGAATACGACGATGAAGAACAGATGGTGGTTGTGCTAATGGTGTGAAAGACTCAATCGATGCCATTACAATGTATGCTGTATTGATGAGTGTTCCTCCCCTTTTATAGGCGAATAACTAGGTTAAATTGATTAATTTGAGAAATTCATTGTTAACCGTTTCATAAAATAAAAAAAAAATATCTTTTTTCCATTTTTTATTTACCTATACTTGGTGTTGTATACAATTATTGATATTCAAACATAATGTGCGTATCCTGATGCATTGACATGCGTAAATGCACACACCAGTGAGCATGCGCCAATACTTTAACAAATGTGCGTGATTTTCATGTCTAACATGCGCACAGAAATAATTTAGTATGCGTATAGTGAGGTCTTAGTGCGCGAACAAACGGTCAAAGACAATTTGCCTTGTTGGTTAATACTCTGAAGTTCTCTATTCGAAGAAAAAATTTAAGTCTTGAGGGAGGGTTGATCCTGGGCAGAGTCAATATGTATAAAGATTTCTACCATTTTACCAATGAGCTCATCCATTTATTTATTGTATCCCAAAAGATATGTAACCTTCCAACTGATCACAAATTAATTAAAAAGCGTGTGTAACGCATATTATGGCATTAATGTGTGTTAGAGACGAACTTAATGTGCGTCTCCAACCACTTTAACATGCGTGTCGTGTGTGTGTGAATGTTTCATTGTGCAATTGTAATATTTTAACGAATATGCGTGTAGTTTTTAATACGCGAACAGTAATATTTTAACGTTTAATGACTTACATATACAACATTGCATTCTTATTGCATGCATTTAAAAGACCAAATCAACGCATATTATGGATTTTGCACCACTCACATTAAAAAGGTATTAGTCTTACTGTGTGGATAATAATAATAATATAACAATAATAATGCGCGTTTGATTTTTGTTTGTTTATTTAATGAGTATCAAGTAAATAAACAAAAAATATATATAAGAGCCAAACAAAGATTTATTATTTACAATGAACTAATTTATACATTGATGTAACACCCCCCTAACATGCTATATAAAAAGCCTTAACACATGCAGATAACACAACAAAACACAAGCACAGCGGAAGATAAAAAGGTAACTGGATAAAAGTAAATCCAAAACAGGGGTGTTATGCCACGTTTACCAACAATGATAAACGCTACGGCGGTCAAATCTGCATTGTGTACACAACTATCCCAAACTCATAAGTCTATCACTACATCGGCTCACGGGCCACAAAGCAAGGAAAAAGGCACTAAACTATCGGCCACTAGACATCGCGCTCGTCTACACATCACCTGTAAGAACACAAAGATAAACATGGGACGACGCCCGGTCAGCGATAATGCTGGTAACCCACCAATACCTGTTAAGTATCATACATAGATAGGATATATATGCAAAATCATTTCGAAACGGAATACTTATATATAAGTGTAAAGCCAAGAGTAAATACCAACACAAGACTCATCACTCTCAAAGATAACACGGGAACACATCCCAAGACCACAAAGGACAACAACAACTCAAGGATAAAGACACGACAAATGGCAACACATGCCTAGGCGCACATGCCTTTGTGACTACACACGTCACAAGAAGAGAACACACGACCACGGCTACACAAGCCCTCGTGACATCACTCATCACGAGTTGATATGCCTTCCTTATGCCCGGTTCCAACCTTATGGCTACCCCCAACCTTATATCTATTTCCAACCTTTACCTCCAGGACCCTTGTACACCAAGTCCAACCTTATTCCCCCGGGAACCGTCGTTCCCCCTCCAACAGACCTCCAACAGAACCACCGATTTCATAGTACACGAGGGTACCGTACACACAGATGGCAACACATGCCTCCCAAGAATCACGTGAACCTGACACACTGGTCACAACTCCATAATCACGTCACAGCCACCACGAGGACCGCTGCAATACCTTGGTGACTAGTGTCCCATACCACTAATCGTGCAATCCAGGTAAAGCCACACACGCATCACACCTCAACAAGAATCAATCAACGGATCACAACGAAGGTATGAAACATACTCAATCAAGGAATGGGTCACAACCCAACAACAACAACGATGAATAACACAAGTTATCATCAACCCATCGGAAGGTACAAACAACGCACATGCTAGCATTTAGACACCAAACTAGCATGCTTATCAAATGGGTAAACCAAAGATAGTTCTGAGGAACACACAAGACTCACCTCGGTTCAGCGAAACACAATGTTGAACACTTAACACGATTCAAGACACCAAAGTCCTACATGGATACCTACCACATGGTTCTAGACATACGAAACATCAAGAAGACACTCAAATAGTTCCACGAAAGAACATCGGGAAGTCAAAAGACCAAATACCGAGTCAAAAGAATTACGGGGAACAAATCCCCAACCATACCATAATACGTACCCGCGGGTAGGCCCCTACTCGCGGTTCCGCCCGCGGGTACAGGTCTCCCAAACCGTGTACCCCGCGGGTGGGCGGCGGGTGGGCCTCCTACCCGCCGTTCCGCCCGCGGGTACAACCTGTAGCACTTCAACACACTTCGCGAATTTTGTCTCCAATCTCGAATTCAAGTCCAAAACATGCCAAATCTCACCCAATACAACAAAATGACTTGAATCAAAGGAAATGCCAAGCAATGGCACAAAAGAACCCTAAACACAAGCTCTAGATATGCATTTTCACAAGACAAATGCATAAACACTCACATTTCATAGCAAAACACAAGTAGAATCCAAGAAATCACATATAGGTATGCAAAATAGGTTTTAGTAGAGCATGGGTTACCTCTTGTAGACTAAAAGACTTCACTTTACACCTCAACAAGCTCCCCACAAGGTTCACTTTCCAAACCCACTTCAAGAACAAACCAAAAGATCATGAATATCCTACCTTTAAGAAAAAGACATCTAAGATGGAACCAAAAACACAAGATGGACTTAGATCTTACCCTCCTAGATGCCCAAATAGTTGAAAGGTTGAATCTTGGAAGCAAATCTTGAAGTCTTAGCAAGGTCTCAACTTAGCTTGGAGGAAAAGCTACTCACCTTTCTAGAGAGAAGGTAGAGCTAATGTTTTAGAAAGTGTAAGGGGTGAAATGAAGATGTCTTCTAGGTTAGGTTTCAATACTAACACTTGGTAAAAGGTCAAGAATGCCCTTACTAACATTAGAAAGTGTAAGGAACAAGGGAACTCCCTTCAAAGCTCGAGGTACAACATGACTTTGAAGTTGACTAGTCAAATACTAGTCCTTAAGTGTTAAAAATCAGGATTTTAGGAATTAATTCCTCAATTGAAATAGGATTAATTACTCGATTAATCCATGGATTGAATGTGGATTTTTGGGGTGTCACATCCTCTCCCCCTTCAAAGAAGCTTCGTCCCCGAAGCTTGGGTACGACGAATTAGAAACAAACGGTGATAGGAAACAACATAGTGACAAGAGGTTCAAGAATAAGCTCTTTTGGTCAAAACTCAAAAGATTCTACAAGGATTCCAAACAAGAAAGAAGGCATGACAAATCAAGGGTTGGCAAGAGTTTAGCAAAAGAAAGATTGAGCATCACGAACTCTAGTCTTAACACCAACATCAACTTCTAGCCAAACATTAAGAACAAGATAACCAACACAAAACACTCACCACTGCTACTAAGCTAACTAAGCAACAAAGCAACAAACAAAACAAGCACGAAAGCAACACAAACAAACAACACGGCAACAACGGCTAGGGAGACACAACTACTAGAGAAAAAGACGAACAAGGCAGCCACAGCTTCACACTAGAAGGACTCGCTCTCCGACTCCTCGGACTCTTCATCAGCTTCTCCTCTATGACTTGAGCTGGCTTCGATCTGAACTAGCCTGTGGTGCACGGCGACGAACTGCGTCTTCATGAAAGCAAAGTAACAAAACCAACTACCCAAACTACAAGCTAACAACCACGGAAAACAAGAGAGAACGACTAAACGCACAACTGAGGAAACAACTACCAACGAACCTACTAACAAGACAAGCAAGAGACGCAACTGGGTTCCACAACGAAA